GGGTCCTGGGGCCGATTTTGGGGTCATTTTTGGGGTCCTGGGGGTGTTTTGGGGTCACTTTGGGGGTCCCAGGTTGGTTTTGGGGTCTCCAGGATCCATCTTGGGGTCATTTTTGGGGGTCCTGGGGCAGATTTTGGGGTCACTCTGGGGGTCCTGGGGCCGATTTTGGGGTCATTTTTGGGGGTCCTGGGGCAGATTTTGGGGTCCTGGGGGTGTTTGGGGTCTCAGGGATCCATCCAGGGGAAGTTCTGGGGTCATTTTTGGGGTCCTGGGGGGGGTTTGGGGGTCTTGGGGCCAATTTTGGGGTCTGGGGGGGTTTTGGGGTCACTTTTGGGGGTCCTGAGTTGTTTTTTAGGATCTCAAGGATCCATCCCGGGGTCATTTCTGGGGTCGGTTTTGGGGTCTCAGGGGTCGGTTTTGGGGTCACATTTGGGGTCAGTTTTGGGGTTTATTTTGGGTTTATTTTGGGGTTTATTTTGGGGTCTCAGGGGTGGGTTTTGGGGTTTATTTTGGGGTGGTTTTGGGGTTTATTTTGGGGTTTATTTTGGGTTTTTTTGGGGTCCATCCCGGGTCACATTTAGGGTTTATTTTGGGGTGATTTTGGGGTGATTTTGGGGTTTATTTTGGGTTTATTTTGGGGTGATTTTGGGTTTATTTGGGGTTTATTTTGGGGTGTTTTTGGGGTTTATTTGGGGTCCATCCGGGTCACTCAGTCCAGCGGTGGCCGCAGTGCGGGGCCGTGCACACGTAGTAAAGCCTCATGGCATCCTGGGGACATCGGGGAAAATTCCTGCACCATTTCCCCTCCCCAAAAACCCCAAAAACCTCCCCGAAAACCCCCCCAAAAATCTCCACACAAACCTCCCCAAAAATCTCCACAAAAATATCAAAAATCCCCCCAAAAACCTCCCCCAAAACCCCAAAAACCTCCCCAAAAATCCCCACAAAAATATCAAAAACCTCCCCAAAAACCTCCCCAAAAATCCCCACAAAAATATCAAAAATCCCCACAAAAACCTCCCCAAAAACCTTCCCAAAAACCCCAAAAACCTCCCCAAAAATCTCCACAAAAATCCCCCCAAAAATATCAAAAATCCCCACAAAAACCTCCCCAAAAACCTCCCCAAAAATCCCCACAAAAATATAAAAAATCCCCACAAAAACCTCCCCAAAAACCCCAAAAACCTCCCCAAAAACCCCAAAAACCTCCCCAAAAATCCCCCCAAAAATCTCAAAAACT